TATAAAGCACATGGACAAAGAAAACAGTTCAATAGTTATCAGGGGAAGGGGGTTGGGGGTGGGCACAGGGGGTGGAGGGGAGGAAGTATGTGGTGACAGACAAGAAATAATATACAACTGAAATTTCACAAAGGTTTAAACAATTATGAACTCAATAAAAAAACTGAAAAAAAATAACAGCAAGACAGCTCAACATTCTTTTTTTAGGCCTATTTATTGACATACCTATTCAAATATCTTGGTCCATTCTCAACTGCTTCATTTGAAAGACTAATTAACATTAACAAGCCACTGTATAGGCTTAATTGCATGACTTCTCCATCAAAGAATGCCATTTTTTTGCTGAAAATCAGCAGTAGCAACAACAATAAATGAATATAAACTTTTAAATAATGAAAAGACAAAATTTTCACAATTGTATTTATTAGCCTAAACTTGATATTGTATTTTAATGTATCAGATGAAAACGACAGCAAGTGGCCATGAAAGTAGAGAGGGAACAAAAGAAATAAAAATATATTAGCATCAAAACATGAAGTCTTTTTAAATTATTGATACTTAAAATCATTTTTGTCTTTGGAAATATTGCTAATGGTTGTGGGAGAGAGAGAAATTTTACAGATAGACTTCAATATGGAAGCCCAATCTTGTGACTTGAGGATGCTCGCGAGTAATCCACCTTATAGAACGAGAGCTGAGTTTCCAGATTTGACCCATAATGGGATCTGGGCACCATTGAAGAAAAGTGGTTTGAAAACTCTCTTTCAAATAACAGTTTCCATGGTGATGTCTGGGAGCATTTCAAGCCATTTCAGTGGTTTGAGCACAAGGAAACCAGGGTATATCTCTGGACTTCTATTCTGCTTAAAGAAAGCCTGTCCATTCTATGATTTGTATACAGGGACTCTGTGTACAATTCCATAATAGCTAAGAACAACAACATCAACAGAAATAAAACCACTATTATGGAAATTTTTGCACAAAATATTTCAGTAGTCAAAACCTTTCAAAATGCTATCTTCAAAGGAAGTACTTTGAAAACTGAACACAAACATGTATCATATGCCTCTAAGAGAACCTGTAAATATGTGTCCTATAGTTGCTGTACTTTAAGAAAGATACAACGAAACTGGAGAAGTATACAATTCAAGAGATAGAGGAGTTTGGAGGTGGCCATATGTCTGTCACCATACCCATGTGCAGCTCTGTCCCAGGCATTTCCTGGTCCCTAAATCAGACCACCTGGTTTAAACTTTGACTGGTTCTGTAATCCATTAGATACCTATCCGTGTAAATCAATTATTTTTACTCTCATCTGTAAAAATGGGAATAACAGCAGTGCAGGCATTTCTGCTATATACTTTTCTGAAAAGCTTTGGGTCCGAAAAATTGCACATTGAACAGTTTCTGGGTGGGTTTAGGCGTAGAACATGCAATTTCGTAACCAGAACAGAAACATAAACAAGCTGGCCACTCATGTCCGCCAGAGGCTGTCTCTGGGGCTATTAGAAATGCTCAAAAAAATAGAATGTAGCTGCTGCTTGAAGATACTGAGACCATTCAGACGGAAGTGGAGTTCTGAACGCAGGAGAAAATGTGACCTACCTTGAACCCACCCCTAAGCAGGGCTGGAGGTGTGTCTCTCTGGAAACAGGCAGTGCATACGGATGCTTATTTTTATTTTTACCAGCTTTGTAGTGGTATAATTAACGTGTGATTAAATACACATATCTATAGTGTACAATTTGGTACGTTTTGAGGTGTGTATACACCTGTAAAAATATCGCCACATCCAAAATAATGAACATACCCATGACTCCAAAAAGTTTTCTGTATTTTTGTAATTTATCCCTCTCTTTCGTCTTCCTTCCCAGGCACCTGCTCATAACTTTCTTCACAGTAGATGTTTGTATTTCATGGTTTTATATAAATGTAATCATATAATATGTAATCTTTTTCCCCCTTCTTTCACTCAGGAGAGTTATTTTGATATGTATCTATATTATTGTGTGTGTCAATAATCTTGTACTTTTATTGTTGTGTAGAATTCCATTTAATTAGCATATCATAGTTTGTTTATCAACTTACCTGCTGATGAATATTTGAGTTGTTTCATTTTCATGGCTATTACAAACAAATCTGCTATGAATATTCACTCAAAAGTCTTTGTATCAACACATGCTTTATTTAATCTCAGATAAATACTTAAGAGTGGAATGGATCATATTGCAGGCATATACCTAAGTTTCTGAGAGACTGTCAACTTGTTTTCAAAATGGTTGTGCCATTCACACTCCCATGAGCAGTGTGTGAGAGTCGCAGCTCCTCCAGAGCCTCCACAATACTTAGAATGTTCATTCTATTTAATATTTGCAATTTACTAGGTGGGTAAATGACAAAGATCCTATTATAGTTGGAGACTTCAACAACCTTCTGTCAGTAACTGATCAATCAAGCAGGCAGAAAATCAGAAAGAATATAGATGACCTGAACTGCATTAAACTAAACAGCATGATTTCCCACAGGTCGAAGAAGGAGTCTCTCAAGAGAACTTAAAAAAAAAAAAAAGTGGGGGCCAACCAGGTGGCAAGCAGTTAAGTTCGTGCTCCACTTCAGTGGTGGCCTGGGGTTTGCTGGTTTAGATCCCGGGTGTGGACCTACTCATGGCTTATTAAGCCATACTATGGCAAGTATCCCCCATATAAAAGAGGAAGATGGTCACAGATGTTAGCTCAGGGCCGATTTTCCTCAGCAAAAAGAGGAGGATTGGTGGTGGATGTTAGCTCAGGGCTAATCTTCCTCCAAAAAAGAAAAAAAAAACCTAAACAAAGATACAATTTTTCAAAATTTGTGAGAGGCAGCAAAAGCAGTGCCTGGAAGGATATGTATAGCATTTCAATATTCATATTAGCAAAAAGGAGCGATTATTTGAACAGGTATTCAGCAAAGAGGGAATATGAATGATAAATAAGCACATGAAATTGTTATTTAATTTCTAAATATTGGAGAATTACCTGGCTATGTTTCTATCAATTTTTTTTAATTTAATTCTGTTGTTGTCTGAGAATATACTTTGGAAGATTTTTATTATGTTAGATATAGTAAGGTCTCTTTAATGGCCCAGAATATGGTCTATCTTGGTGAATGTCCCATGTGTGCTTGAGAAAAATGTCTATTCCACTTTTGTTGGATGGTGAATACTGTAAATATCAATTAGATCAATTTGATTGATAAGGCAGTCCAAGTCATTTGTATCTTTACTGATTTTCTGCCTGCTTGGTTTATCAATTTCAAACAAAAGATTATCGAAGTCTCCAACTGTAATAGTGAATTCATTTAAGTCTCCTTTCAGTTTTATCAATTTTTGCCTCATATGTTTTGATACTCTGTTGTTAGGAACATACATATTTAGGATTGTAATGTCTCGTTATAGAATTAACTACATAGTTTGTCATTATGTAGTGTCACATTTTAACTCTGATAATATTCCTTTTTCTGAAGTCAGTTTGTCTGAAATTAATATTGTCACTTCAGCTTACTTATGGTTAATGTCATTATGGTATGTTTTTCTCCATCCCTTTACTTTTATCCTATCTGTGTCTTTATATTTAATAGATGGCCTTTATAGAGAGTATATAGTTGAGTCTTGATTTTTTAAGCTAATCTGAAAATCTCTATTTTAAACTACTATATTTAGCCATTCCCACTGAAAGTGACTATTGATATAGTTAGATTAAAATCTGCCATCTTTATTTATTTTTATTCTTTGCTTTATTTGGTTTTAATTGAGCATTTTATATAATTCCTTTTCAAATCTCTCTTGGCATATAATTTATAATTCAATTTAAAAATTTTAATAGTTGTGTATGCAGGAGAGGAACAGCTGAGGACTGGACCATGGGGCTCAGGGAATTGAAAAAAGGTGCACACAGCTGATGGCAAAACAGACATACTTTTATTCACTCTGGTTGACAAGCCAGTGGGAGTGCAGCAGCTCCCCTTGTGGCCGCTTTTATATGACTACTAGACAAAAGTGGCATACAGCCAGCAGATGACACAATGTTTATTATCCAGGTTACATAGGAGTTTATATACATGGATGGGGCGTGTGCTGCCTGCAGTAGACATGCTGAGTCACATCTGCCCAGAAGCTGCTCCGGTCTGATTGTTGATAGTACCTCCATTTCCCTTCAAGTTGCCATAGTATTTACAATATACATTTAAAAAGAATCAGGTCCACTTTCATATAACACTGTATCACTTCATGTACCATTGACATATCATACAATAGAATATTTCCATTTCCTCCCACATCCCAGAATCATGAAGGAACTTTCTCCATTCTTCCCAAGGAGAATTTTTTGGGTTACTGGAGGTAGAACTCACAAAATTGTGGACCCCCACTCAAGGCTGCCTATCCTTTTCCCTGAAGTATTTAAATCTCAAGTTAATCCACACTCAGTCTCCACTAATATGTCAAATCCAGTTGAAATGTTTCTCCTGGTCTTGGCTCCAGTATACAGGATTCTGTGCCCAATAAGCCCTGATTCTTTGGAGCTCTCTCTCAAGTTTTTGGAGCAGCAGTTTGCCATTTGACATCAATTATCTAATGGATCTAAGAAGCGTTGTTGATTTTCAGGGTTTTTTTCTTGTTATGAGAACAGGAGTCATGACTTCTAAACTCTTTACACATGGGGCCAGAAACTAGAAGTTCTAATAACATATTTTTCATACTAGTATTTGCATGTTTTAATTATATAATTTTCATTTTATTATTTTTGGCTTATTTCCATTCTTCCTATTGTCTTTTGAATCCTTGAACATATTACTCATTGTAATTTTAACTTCTGGGTTCAATAACTTCATTCTCTTTGTTCCTTGTTCTTTTTTTCCTATTGATAGTTTTTCTTTTGATATTCAGCTAAGTTTTGTCTTCTCATATGCATTGTGATTCTTGTTATTGAATTCTAGATGCAGTATATAGAAATTATAGATATATGTTGAAGTTTGAGATTGTTTATTTATTTATGCTTTCCCTAGGCAGCTCGGCAAGGGCAGATCTCAATCTATTCAGGATTATTGTCTTCTAAAGTTGCATTTCAGTTCTTGTCAGCACTTGTCCATTTCCAGATCTCTCTTATTTGAAGGACACAGTTCATCCTTTAATATACATCATGCCCTGACTCCCAGCAGATCTTAAAGTCAATTTTTTGTCTCACCAGGCCCCTCGAACTTAGAAGTTCTTCTTGACTTTTTCATCCCTCAGCTGCTACTTTCTCCTCAAGGAGAAAAGAGATGTCAAATTTTAGTCTCTCTTCTGTTGCCTTTCCTCATCAACTGGATCACACTCCTGCAACTTCACATTACTTTGGGAACTCTTCATTGATTTCAAACAGAAGGTTTTCCTGTTTCAATTTGAATATAAAGAAATAAACGTTCCTTTCTCAAAAAGAAGATTGATCTGAAATGTCTGATCTGTTTCTACCAATAGCTGAATTCTACTTAATAAATATTAGGAAAATCAATAAGTAATAAAAGTTAAAGAGTAAAATAAAAATAATAAATAAATCCATGGTTATTACAATTAAACTAATTTAACTTAATTTAAACCAATTGAGTGTGAAAAAAGTTGACACCAGCAGCTCCATTTTATACCCTAGACTCCATATTCTTAAAAAATATGAAACTGCTCACCTTGCTGACCTGTCAAAAGGCATTTATTTGCTGAGAAAGGATTATCTGAAGGATTGTGCAAAAATATACTTTTTCTGTTGGCAAAAAAGATGACCTTAGATAAGCTAATGACCTGTCACATAAATTGACCCTTCCTAACAAGCAACTGAAGGGATTGTTCTGGGCTCCCCTTGTTGTCAATTAAAACTCCTGATTTTTATTCCTTAGGAGGACACTTTTCTGGCTGCTGCCAAATCTTGTGTTCGCCAATTACAATTCTCATACCCCCAAATAAATGCTATCCATTTGTTTTGAAGTTGCTTCATTTTTTCTAAGTTGGCATAACTTAAATAATATTTCTATCAAACAGACACACGTCCAGGAAACTTCTTCAGATATGCAAGACATGTTTGGTGACTGAAGTTTATTTTAATAAGATGTCCAAAAAGAAGTAGACCATTCTCCTACTTATGTCAAGAAGTTGACTTCAAATTTTGGAAATATAAGTGTTGTTATACTCCGTGACACAAAATACAAAACAATCTTTGTTTTCACTTAAGAATTGAATTTTGGATTCAAAATTTAAAGTTAGGCTTACCTGCTGCTCTTAGAGCCTCACTGTTAAGTGAAAAATTTTATAAGAGATGAGACTATGAAATTATTGCAGTGATATGAAGAATATCTGGATTCCACAAGATGTTAAGAATCTTACAAGTAGTACCACTGGACCAGAGGTCTATGGGGATTTGATGGTATTATAAGGGAAATAAACTAGGACTTTTGATGCATATCTATTGAAGATGCAATGTCCTGTGGGGGATCAAAATTGGCCACCCCAAAACATGTCTCTTTGCCTTGATTATTTTTAAGAATAAAAGACTCTGAGAGAAACTTTGACCTTTTCCCTAACTGCATAAAATAACTAGAGATAAAAGCCCCATCTCCAGGACAGGCCATTACCATAGATAAGTCTGGGTATTGGTAGACTGTGAGGGTCCTTGCTAAGCCCATTCTCATCAAAGTTCTAGCTACCAAACATTTACTTTTCCATTTCCATGTGAATTCCCTTCCTCCCCTTTGAAGCTCCAAACCACTCCCCTCAACATCCTCCTTTGTCTATAGCTGAAGAAAGTATTTAAGCTGGCAGCCTCAATCATTCTGGCTAGTTGTTCAGTTTTCCTGGGTTTCTCCCATGTCTACATGTTATAAAGCTTTGTTTGATTTTCTCTTCCTATTCTGTCTCATGTCAATTTAATTCTTGGGCCAGCCAGGAGAACCTAGAGTGGGTAGAGGAATTCTCTTCCTCCCCCACAGTTGTCTTAAGCCATATACACACAGTTATGCCTGTGGACAGATAGATGAAGTAGCATGATGTTAGCCAGCTGATCAGGCTGTCCTCAAATATAAGTAGTTGATAGTTATGAAATAAAATCTATGATGCATGCAGCAATTACTTCATATTAAAATAATATTATAAATATTGACTAATTAGTAATTACCTGTGCTTTTCATAGTAGCACTAACAGAAATATCTGAGATAAAATTTATGGACTCATTCCTCATTTTTTGAAAATGATCAGTTGCTCTAATCTTGGATTATAAGATTGATTATACACTTTTTTGCACTTTTTTCCTTGAATCAGAAGTCATCACACTTGCTAGAGTAAGCAATAATGTTTTTCTTCTTCTGAAAATTCTTCAGGGCACTGTTTAAGTGCTCATTCTTAACATGTCTTAAATCTTCTTGTGTAATGGCTTTAAGATTGAGGTGTAGAACAGTAACAGCAAGCTATTACCGCACGGAACTCCCCCTTACATGTCTCTGGAACTCACATTTTGCTAAAGTACAAATTAAGCAGCACTCCATGAATCCAAATCTTCTGCTATGATTCAAGTTTGTGGTTGTTGTTTTAGATAATTTGTTCACTGTACTTTCAGCAACATTTTATTAGGTCTTCTTTTTTTTTTACGGATTGATTTGTGGTGAAATATACTCTTATCTACCGTTTAAATTGCACACTATCCAATTTAACCATCTTTCTCTTGTCAGAATTACAGGAATCTCTCTCCAAATGTGGGACAATTATATTCCTAAAAAAGTAGCATGGTTGAGGAAAAAAATCTGTTTGACAAGAGCAAGTTATCATAAAATGGGAAGTTTGGTAGAAACAGATATAGGCATTACATATATAAATGCACCCACACATGCAGAGTAAACTACAACTTTAGAAGGCATCTGCTTCCAAAATAAACAAGATGCGTTAGTGTCAAAATCTTGGCTCTTCAAGTAAGCGTCCTATTTAATCACTTTCTCATATTGTTCAGGATAATATGCTATAACTTTGTGTCCTTCCAAGGCAGAGTCTCCAACAATTTGGTATTATGTAATTACATTATTTAAGAAATTTTTAAATAGTTCTTGAGGGTTTAAACTTAGTGTCTTTTTTATTGAGATGCCCTCTACCAGCCTTGCTGTCTAAAACTCATTGATTTATCTACTCATTTATTTTGCAAATTTTAGCAAATTGCTTATATCTCTACCAGATCTTTTCGCAGAATCACTATGATAAAGGATAAGTTTTCTTGACCTGTCTTCTAGACATTCCTATATGCTTAGCATTGTGGTCTACACTAAATTAAGCAAATGTGAAAAAATTGAGGGTTTTAAAATTTATAATGCAAACACAATTCTACATCATCTTGAACTGTTACTGGCAAAAGGAGTCGACGAGCTTAGACTTGGATTTCACCTTTAAATCATGTGAAAGCCAGTGTGATCTACTAGACGAGGCTAGTGTGATTCTGTTTGTGTTTGTTTTATTGAAAGGCAAGGTGGAGATGGTTTTATTTCGTTCTAGGAGGACGGCTCAATGTTAGGAGTATATAGCATTTACTGTCTCAAATGCTGCTTAGCTGGCCTCTCTTTACAGACTCCTGTTTCTACAGAGACAAAGCAGACAAAAGCCGAGGGAACAATGTCCATGAACAACTTGTTACAAGATGCTTTTTGAGAGCTAGGACTAAAGGCATTTGTCTTGTTTCTGTTCCATTGGGCACAATCCAGGTGAGGACTGCAGAGAAGATAGAATCACCTTGAGGGGCCGGCCTGGTGGCACAGCAGTTAAGTTTGCACGTCCGGTTCTCAGTGGCCCGGGGTTCGCCAGTTCGGATCCCGGGTGCGGACATGGCACCACTTGGCACACCATGGTGTGGTAGGCGTCCCACGTGTAAAGTAGAGGAAGATGGGCATGGACGTTAGCTCAGGGCCAGGCTTCCTCAGCAAAAAGAGGAGGACTGGCAGTAGTTAGCTTATGGCTAATCATCCTCAAAAAAAAAAAGAATCACCTTGAAACTCCAGGATTTAACCCTTTAAGGACAGTAGTGCATATAAACTTTGGCAGAGATGTCAGCATATCTTGCTGATAATGTGTTTAATTTGCAATTTGCAGGCATCCTCTCATGAGATGATATGAAGTGGACTGAGATAATATGAAAGCTCAGTTTGTGTGTTAGTAGAAGTTTGCTTTTCATGATACCTGGCATTTTTCGGAGCAGTGATGTTTTGTGGAGAGAAAATTAAATTTGAGTAATTCTAGTTATTTTAATTCTATTTATATCTTTTTGCTGAGTAAGCCTAGAAAAGGTGTGTTATTTATATCAAATTAGTTTCTATTTATTTGCATAAAGGCTCTATAAGTCTGTTAAAAGTCAATTTTACTTTTTAAAAAATCAGTCTCCTGGTTAAGTATTTTCTTTCTCACAATATGTAGTTCAAAAATAAACTTGGAGTTTTTAAAATAATTAGCTGTTATGTAGATAAGTTTTAGTGTTCAAGTTTATTGCACTGCTAGTTGTTATCTTGATTCAGTGGTATTCTAATTAAGACAATTGGGCTGGAACTTTAGGACATACGAAAATCATACGCTATATAATTTTTAACATCGAAAGACTGCACTTTCTTCAAGAGTGTTTGTAACTCCATTCTCTACCTCCACAGTTTAATTAACTATGCATTTTTTAACTCCTGGATATTTGTGAGGTTAAGCTCACATTTTTATTGACTTAAAACAATAAAGTTTCTCTCGGTGATCAATGATATTCCTGATCAATAGGCAGCATTTTCCCTGTCGGGCATTCAGGCTTCCCCTCCCCAGAGGCCTTACAGTCCTGAGCGTGCAGGCAGCAGATGGAAAAGTGTGGATGAAGGCATGTCCCAGGGGCTGAGAAGTATAGCCCCTGGCTGGGCAACCAGTTGCCAGAACAACTCTTTACCATGAAAAGAGTCGCACAAATTGAGCTACCCCTGACACACGAGTATCCTATAAGCTTACCTTTTCCAAAGTCCCAGAGCCATGAAGCAGATTTCCATGATGCTGCTTCAGTCCCACATCCCACACTGTTGCCCATCACTGGGGGCCACAGAAGGCTACCACAGAAACTTGGCGGGTGGTCTGAAAAAGCAGGGGAGACATGATGAAATCTCCCTGGTCTCAGGGACACAAAGATGTCATCTAGCCCCCACAAATTCTCGAGAGTCCAGCAACATTTAGTCAATTAATAGAAATCTTCAGTCACAAAATTAATTGTAAGACCGTGTGTTTCCATTCAAACCTTGCATAAACCAAGGCATTCTTTGCCCAGAATTGGTCTGTTCCTATTTTTGAAGTCCAATAATAAATATCATGATCTCAAAATATACTTCTTTTAGTTCTGTACTGCCACTAGCTTTATCCAAGCACATGCTCATAGGCATCCTCTACTGTATATTCTTTTCCAAAACTGTGACTTTCCACAACTATTTCATTATTATATTTTGACTTGGGACTGGTAATTATGAAACGACAATATGAAAATCATTTTCTTGCCACTTACTTCATATTTAAACAACTTCTTGTATACTACTATCTCAGCCCCAATTGAAAATAGAATGAGAAATGTAAATTAAAAAAAATCACAATGAGAAAGAAAATAAGAGATCAGAATCAGAGTGGCTAATCTGGTGCCATATACCAAAGCCCAAGAACAACAACAGAATGCTAAAAGTTTGCCATCTAAGACTCAGAAAACCCTTACGTGATTCTGGCAAGTATTTCCCTCAACTTGTGGATCTTTAAGGAAGACAGAGAGGAATAGAATTCTCCCAACCATTCAAAATCTCTGAGTGGAACATCCTCTGGCTTAAAAAGGCATCTCTGTCTCTAATCGAGACCAAATGCCCAACTGCTCAATTTGAGGTCTTGGAAAAGCCTTTTTTTTTTTTTTTTTTTTGAGGAAGATTAGCCCTGAGCTAACATCTGCCACCAACCCTCCTCTTTTTTGCTGAGGAAGACTGGCTCTGAGCTAACATCCATGCCCATCTTCCTCTACTTTATATGTGGGACGCCTGCCAGAGCATGGCTTGGCAAACGGTGAGTAGGTCCGCACCCAGGATCTCAACCGGCAAACCCCGGGCTGCGGCAGTGGAATGTGCAAATTTAACCTCTGTGCCACTGGGCCAGCCCCATGGAAAAGCCATTTTTGATCTCAAAACAAATGTTTTCTAAATATATGTGCAGTTCCAAAGCTGCTACTATCTGCTCTAGCATTTTGAGTCCTCCCCAAATGATTATTATTACAATAAGATTTATTACAAAAATAACTAATATCCATTGAACATTAATTTTATTTCAGGCAATATCCTAAATTCTTCATAAATATATTTCAAAGGTAGCGTTAATATCCTCATTTAAATATGAGCAAGTGGTGTTTCTGACGGGGCACTCAGGTCATAATGGTGCGCCTGGTTTCCTGCAGCTTTAGAAATGCACACTCATTTCAGGCACCTTTAAGTTAGGACCAGGAGAGTTAAATCAGTCCCAGAGACTGCGATGTTTTCCAAAGGACGATCCTGAGCCCATTTATGAAGATGCTTAGAAGAAAGGGAGTGATATGCGCTAATTTACCCAAATGCATGCAATGGGGAAATGCAGAGAATAAGAACTACCTGTCTCAAGAGACCAGAAAGCACTTGGCCTGTTTACCAGTTGGGAGATAAAACCCACATAGAACTGGGAAGGACGCAGGATGCAGTTCACGTCTTTGGGCATGGGGACAGAGTTCCCTTGTATTAATGACTCTAAGAGGCAGACTTCTAAATACGCCCCGCTTTCTCCAAGATTTCTGTCCCCATTAATCTATTTACTGATGTAAAGGGGCTTTGCAGATTTAAGCAAGGTTGCTCATCAGCTGCGCTTAAAACAAGGATTATACATGTGGGCCCAATGTAATCATATGAGCCCTTATAAGCAGAAGAGGAAGGTAAAAGGAAGGCAGAGAGATGCAGCAGAGAAGGACATCGGAGAGATCTGAAATCTGAGATGGACTTGACATGCCATTGCTGGGTCTGCAACGTAGAGGGTGTAACGACCCTAGGGAGGCCTTCATGATCTTTACCATTCCCTTTGTTTTAGCTTTATAATTTCTGAAGCTTATTTAACTACCTTTTATTTCTTAACAACTGTCAAATTTTTTCAGGCTTTCTTGAAATAATAATCTATATTTTTAAAAGCAGTCTCTTAATTTTTTAACTTTGTTCTTAATGACTTTTAGGATTTCTCAATGATTTTGGACACATCTGCATACTCTTTCCTAATGTTGTGCTCCCTCTTTGTTTTTGAGCATTTTCAGGGATTTTTCTAGTAAACTTGTGTTGTCTGAGAACTAGTAAGATATTCAGATTTAATTTTCTATTACGAAAATTCTATTTCATATCTTAGATAATTACACATTCAAATTTATATAGTATAGGGGAAGATCCAGTGGCACAGCGGTTATGTGTGCACCTTCCGCTTTGGCGGCCCAGGGTTCGCCGGTTCGGATCCTGGGTGCAGACATGGCACTGCTTGGCACGCCATGCTGTGGTAGGTGTCCCACATATAGAGAAAGATGGACATGGATGTTAGCTCAGGGCCAGTCTTCCTCAGGAAAAAAGAGGAGAATTGGCAGCAGATGTTATCTCAGGGCTAATCTTCCTCAAAAAAAAAAAATTATACAGTATACTCCTTTGGAACATATTTTTAATTAAAACAATCTGTCTTCCATTTTAATTTCTATTTTCTCACAATTTTATCTTTTTCATCCCTTACTTTTATAATTCATGAGAGGTTTATGGCGTCCTCCATTTCACTGATTCGATTTGCAATGTCAGTTTATTTACTGCTCACAAAATTTTGTTTGAAATTTTCTTTTTTTGCTCATTCTCTGGATCCTAAAGTATCTGACCCAGTCTCAAATTTATTTTTCTTCTCCTCAGTACATTCTCTTCCTTTCTCAAAGAAGCCATATTTTTCCCTATTGAAAATGCTGTATACTTTTTTTTTTCCTGGCTTATGTCAAAAGTAATTTCAGACGGCTGTGTTTCCCTAGGTTGTAAACACGATGTTCCCTTTATGTTACTCCAAAATGAATTTTCATAGTCCCCGTGGTTACTTTCTGTGATCATTCATTCCCAAGGCAGGGTAATGTACCTGTTCTTTGTTTTGTCCCAACAGAAAATGTCTGCAGTTGTCTTGGCGTGTTTACTCTCTGCTATTTTCAGTCGAGGCCAAATTTCCCTCCCACTCTAGCTGGGGCAGAGCAGAGGCGCATCCGCGTGAGCGCATGTCCCGAGATGACTGGAGCAGTCTCAGGAACGATCTGGTGGGTACTATAAATGAGAAGCCAGTTGGTTCCAAGAAAACAGATTCCCAGAAAGTTCATTTTCTGTCTGAGATTGTTTACTTGTTTTTTTTAGCAAGAAACGCAGAACACTTCCAGAGGTTGAATGTAGTTCCAGGGTGAATGTTTTTGTTATCGCTATTTAAACAAACCTAGGACAAAAAGTGCTGAATCAGCCACCAATATAAGTCCAGTATTAGTGCGGAAAGCAGAAATCACTCTATAAATTTGAAGGGGAGTGGGTTCAACACACAGAATTAGGTGCCTACGAGACAGCCGGAGCGCTAGACAGGGGAGGCAGGCGGCAGCCGCCGCAGAGCCGTTGTGTTCCTGAGCATATGGAAGCAGCACCGACCAGGCATGGAACCTGCAGCTTCTGGCCCTTGGGTGGAGCCCATGTGATCCTGATACTCACAAAGCTGGTGACCTCACCTTGCAACCCTAAGAATGGCCCCACCATTGCTGCAGGATGGTCTTATCTCTGTGCTGTGCTCGTCAGCAGAAAGCGGCCAGAAGAAGACCTCCACCTGACTCCGCCATCCAACCTGCCAGTGCTTCCAGTTCAGAAACAGTTCATTCGGAACTCAGCACTCAAAGAGGGATAGGAAATGTAGCTTATCTTTTCCACTTTTCATTATAGAAAGGCTCCCTCAAACAAGGCCACGATTGAGTTGAATGAGCCAGTGCTCATTGTTTTTCACTCCACATTTTACTGTTTCAAAAACTCACTTTCAAATGCCTCATCTTCTCTGTGCATTGACTGTCAGCTCTTGATTTCCTGGCACACAAAAACCTGAGCACAGCCTCCTCCCTGCCCTCCATGCTGATAATTCTGTCTGTTTGTCTGTTTAACTTGCAGTCTCAGAATGAAAGAGGCAGTTGTCAGGAAGGACACCATGCAAACACGTCTCTACTGTATCGCCTTCCGCATGGCATGGCTGAGGCAAGCAGAGAGAATGCAGGGCACACTGAGATCTCTCTTCCACCTCATTGTATTCAGGTGGGGCTGCTCCTTACGCAGGATACCATGGACAACACACACATTCTTTCTTTTCTTTTTTCAATTTATCTCCAAGTAGCTCTTTGTTAACGTAAATTTTAAGTTTTCATAATAGCTTGGCTATCAATCTCAGTTTAGTGAATTACAGTATTTTTTTTTCTTGTGTCTTAAAATATATTTTAGTAGTCACTTAAGAAGTTATTCCAGGGGCTGTTCTGTAGGGATAATTTAGCCCAAATGACCAATAGATGATATTTGTGCTAATTCATTAAGTATGTATGCAGACAATCTTCACAAGATTCAAATATTCTGGTAATAAGTTTATTTGATGATTTTGTGAAAGCTTGAAGTTACTTAAAACAGATGACTCAAGTAAAATAATATCTACCATTAACCAATGTACTCTTAGTTTGGTAAAAATATCAGTTTTTAGATCTCATTGAATAACAATTAGCTGATGGCTGACCCTTCTGGTAGAAGGAGGAGAACCACTGGAGAGTTGTGTGCATCCTCTAATAACCCATGGTGAGTGGAAAATACACAACTGGAAAGTGACACAATAAATCACACTATCGTCCTGCTATGTTTTTGACACAACCTTGTGCATTATTTAAGAGCAAAACTAAGGCATTTTTGGACAACTGCAAATGCGATGAACAGAGTGGGTGTTACTTTATATGGCTCAAGAATTCCTCTAACTCTAGTCTTATTAATTAGACAGAATTTCCCATGGAACTCTCAGTGTTTCTTTTTATGTTTTTTTCATGGGCTTTCTGTGATTCAATAAGTTTTTATGCACTGCAATTTTTTTTTAATGCTCAACTTGTCACAAATTTTGCCAAAGGGAGTTCCTTCAGCCTGGTTCCTATGTCCTTTGCTATCCCATAAGTCTTTGAAAGCACCTTTGCTTTGTGATGCCAGGGTCACATTTTCCCTTCTTTTCACCAATTGGAAATCAGCCATTCACAAAGTAGTGTAGATTCAGTTTAGTGGGAAATGGTATTACAGGCTCCAGTTTGAGTACTGTTTACTGCTGGTGCAATCACTGCTAGTGACATGACATTGTTTTTGTTTTCTTTGGATAAACACCCAGAAGTAGAATTGCTGGATCATATGGGATTCTATTTTTAATTTTTTGAAGAACCTCCATACTGTTTTCCATAGTGGCTGCACCAATTTACATTCCCACCAACAGTGCACAAGGGTTCCTTTTTCTCCACATCCTCATCAACTCTTCCTATTTCTTGTCTTTTTGATAACAGCTATGCTAACAAGCGTGGGATGGTATCTCACTGTGGTTTTGATTTGAATTTTCTGGATAATTAGTGATGTTGAACATATTTTCATGTACCAGTTAGCCATCTTCATGTCTATTCAAATCCCCTGCCCATTTTTTAATTGGATTGTTTGTTTTTTGCTATTAAGTTATATGAGATTTTTATATAATTTGGATATTAACCCCTTATCAGATATATGATTTTCAAATATTTTCTCCTATTCACTGGGTTCCTTTTTTCGTTTTGTTGATGGTTTCCTCGGCTGTGCAGAAGCTTTTTAGTTTGATGTAGTCTCACTTGTTTATTTTTGCTTCCGTTGCCCTTGCTTTTGGGATCAGATCCAAAAAATCGTCACCAGGACCAATGTCAAGGAGCTTACCACCTATATTTTCTACTAGGAGTTTTATGGTTTCAGATCTTAAGTTCAAGTCTTTACTCCATTTTGAGTTCATTTTTGTATATTGTGTAAGATAGTGGTCCAGTTTTATTCTTTCGCATGTGGTTGTTCAGTTTTCCTGGCACCATTAATTGAGGAGATTGTCCTTTCCGCATTATGTATTCTTGACTCTTTTGTCGTGAATTAATTGAACATATTTGTGTGGGTTTATTTCTGGGCTCTCTATTCTGTTCCATTGATCCATCTGTCTGTTTTCATGATAATACCATACTGTTTTGATTACTGTAGCTTTGTAATATAGTTTGAAGTCAGTTAGTATGATGCCTCCAGCTTTGTTCTTCCTCAAGAGTTTTTTTGGCTATTCAGGCTTTTTTATGTTTCTATACAAATTTTAGAATTGTTTGTTCTCTTTCTGTGAAAAATGCCGTTGGGATTTTGATAAGGATTGCACTGAATCTGTAGAATCTATTGGTTAGTATGGACATTTAAATAATATTAATTTCTCCAGTCCATGAGCACAGAATACCTTTCCATTTATCCATGTCATCTTCAGTTTTCTTCATCAGTGTGTTGTAGTTTTCAGTGTACAGGTATTTTATCTCCTTGGATAAATTCATTCCAAAGTATGTTATTCTTTCTGATGCAATTGTAGAAGGTATTGTTCTCTTAATTTCTCTTTCTGATAGTTTGCCATTAGTGTATAGAAATGTAATAGATTGTTGTATATTGGTCTCGTATCCTGCAAACTTACTGAATTCATTTATTAGTTCTAACAGTTTTTTGATGACCTCTTTAGAGTTTCTTTTTTAAAATTTTTTAAATTTTTCCTTTTTCTCCCAAAGTCCCCCAGTACATAGTTGTTTACTCTTAGTTGTGTGTCCTTCCAGTAGTGGCATGTGGGATGCTGCCTCAGCATGGCTTGGTGAGCAGTGCCCTGTCCATGCCCAAGATTCGAACTGGTGAAACCCTGGGCTGCCGAAGCAGAGCATGTGAATTTAACCACTCGGCCAGGGTCCGATCCCTCCTTTTTCTTTTTCTTTTTCTCTAGAGTTTTCTATATATGATATTATGTCATTTGCAAATAGTGACAGATTTACTTCTTCTCTCCAACTTGGATGCCTTTTATTTCTGTTTCTTGGCTAATTGCTCTGGCTACAAATTCCAATATTATATTGAATAAAAGTGGCAAGAGTGGACATCCTTGTCTTGTTCTTGATCTTAAAGGAAAGCTTTCAGCTTTTCACTGTTGATTATGATATTAGCTGTGGGCTTATTGTATATGGCCTTTCTTATGTTGAGGTACAATCCCTTTACATCTACTTTGTTGAGAGTTTTTATCATAAATAAGTATTGAATTATGCCAAATGCTTTTTCTGGTATCTATTAAGATGATCATGATTTTTATCCTTTATTTTATTAATGTGATGTATCATGTTGATTAATTTGTGGATGTTGAACCATCCTTGCATCCCTGGAATAAAATCTCACTTAATCATGGTGTATGAATCTTTTAACGAATTGTTGAATTTGGTTTGCTAAGATTTTGTTGAGGTTTCTTAAATCTATGTTCATCAGGGATGTTGACCTGTAATTTCACTTACAAACTTTGTGAATGTCACTTACCTATACTCCAGTACCTAGTCTGAAAATGAGGATAATAGCATATAGTTCATTGAGTTATGGGGAGATTATTTAATGCCTTTAAAGCACTTATCTAGCATCTGCTTCACCTAAAGTAAGTGCTCGATAAAATTATTACTCTGTCTCCTAACCATATGGTCATTGCATCTATTTTTAGCTAATGGATGTCGCAGTGATTTGTTTAGTTAATATAAATTGATAGATTCAATAGTAAATTCAGATACCACAGTGAAACTTTTTTTACCACAAGTATTTTGTGTTATACAGTTTGCTTCTTTTATATATACGTATAGTATGAACGATATATAGCAATTATCTGAATTTGGTTTATTGACATCTGATATATGCAGAAAACCTTGCTTTTGTATTCCCATCCTTCTTCCAGTCATGTTCTTCTCTGCCAGCATTTCTTTTTAAAGATGAGGAGTGATGTCCTCATTATAAGTCAAGAAACGTTCCCCAGCACATCTCTTCTTGTGCTGTTTGTCTTCAGTACCTCACATCAGTGCCTTGGACCCATTGGACTCCCTTCATTTCTGCTGGCATTTGCTTGCTTTTGTCTTATATCAGAAGGTGCTCTATGAAAAACTTCCCCTCTGAGGAAGCTTCAAAAGTCATGTTTCTTTTATTGCAAAGCTCTTTTTTTTTTAGTTATATTTTTCATAAGTATAACC